TCAAAATTAGGGACGGCTAGCGCAGATAGCCCTCGTGTAGCTTTGCGCGAAATTAAAAACAAAACAATTTAAGTTTAACCTGAGAATCATAACTAGATAAAAGGTGTGAAAAAGAGTGAAGAGAAACATGATATTTTGACCATTTGCTGCTAAAAATGAAATCTTATCATATAACTTATTAAGCTCCATTCTAAAACATTAATCACCCTGATGGCTCGGCAGTAAGTCTAACAGTTTATAACACTAAAACACCCGCTGTGGGCAAAGTATAGATAGCCCGTTGTGTAGCCTTGCTCTTAACAACAGACAAAAGCATTAAAAACAGAGTATCGTCCAAGAAAAAACAAAACAAAAACTGTCACCCTTCATTTATATGCTGAGCTATTGTAGTAAATAGTGAGTGAGTAAGTTATTTAACACATTCTTAACTAATGATTTAAAACTATTTAACAATGCCTAAAAGATATAGAAAATATAAAACGTTTAAGTTAGTTGTTCTATCCTGGTAATAACCAGAAAGTTACAAATGTGAGCCCTTAAAAACAAATACAACTTGTGCATACAGTGCGCAGGACAGAAAGACAGAGGTGAATCGAGCAGTCTACTCCGAAGATTTCTGAAGCCGATGGTTATTACGTATGTATGCACACATAACGTGTAATTGTAATTAATTTCACATGGTGCCTACTCAGTTCTTCAAAAGATGACGTCACCGACGTAATCACAATGCTTGACAGAAGTATAAAAAATGTTTGGTATGTTGCTAGGTCAAAAACGAAACTCCTACAAATGTCGAGAGAATTAACTAGATTAATTAATGCCTTTCGTTCCACCTGTCACATTAATAATTAAATTTATAAAATGAAATTTTATTTATTTTTGCTGCAATCAAATTAATTGTTTCCAACTTATTTATAAAAGTAATCGAATTATAAAGTACTAATCACAATATCTGATCAATTATCTTGAATTTCTATTTATATATATATGTGTGTCTTCATGAGAAGCAAAACGCCATTAACTCTGTTTAATTTCTATTTGTAATAATCTTCTTACTCCTTCCCCCAAATTACCCCCAGTGGCATGAGGGCTTATAATGTTAAACTTCGGGGTTTGATGCCTGCGGTGCATTCTACAGCTTTGTGATTATCTATGACAATTTTAAAGCTCTTTTGTGGATTTTAATTTTTCAGTCAAAAAAGAAATTAAGTCACTGAACGATGTGCCACAACTAAATTATATATTTTTACTAGTAGAGACACGCAAAGCACATGTGGTCAAATTAGTATCTTCATTATAACAGTACATCTTTAAATATAGAATTTATAGAATAATACAAAAAGAATTCAAATCGCAGACACCGAAATCTGTAAGTCCGCTTGTTTTAGGCCTAACATTAGTTAAGCCTTTATTAAGTTCGGCCTATATTTGATATAGAGATAAATTAATACTGTACGTTTTTGTTTGCTTTAGTTTAGTTAGGGCTAATCTTTACCGTACTTAATACTGTTAATAAATAAACGTATAATGTAATTCTACGACATAACGCTAGACCTTTTTAAAAACTTTAAGTATGTTATTTTGCAAAATGTCTACTAAATTAATTTACATCCGTTGAAGTGATGTTCGCGTGCATGCACACTTGAATAATACATATAAGGTGCGTACGCATTTTCAGGGCAGACAAAAACTGAGTGTTATAATAATAATGGATAAATTTATCTAAATGAGCCGTGAAATTTCACCCCACTTCCACCAGGCGGGATGAAGTAACCATTGAGTGATATTGGAACCATGGATACCGTGTACCATGCAGTATTTTGATGGGATAACTTTCATTCTAATATGGACTGCACCACCACCACCAATATAAATGTAATTAGACACGTTTTAATGTGTGTTTTTTTAAATATTAACTTAAACTTATGTAAAAGAAGAATATTGCTGTATCATCTCAGGATGTAATGTCAGTATAACAACTTATTCTAATAAGCGTCATCAATATACATTTGCTGCAAGATTTTTTTGCAATTTATCGATAATAATCCATCGTGTGTGTGTTTCTTTCTTTCTTTCTTTATGGGAAGTCTTATTTTTACAAAATACGTATCGATGAGTCACTAAAACCTTACAGATCAGGAGTAAGATGAACCACGTAGCCGTTAATTCGTTGTAGATTAAACTTTTGGTGGTAATTCTAAAGCTTTATCTGAACAAACTATATAATTTTACGAAATATATTCGGATTTTTTTTTAGACTCTTTACAGCTATCGTGTCACGAATGACGACAGGGGGGGGGGGGGTTCGATGGAGTATAGATAATTAAGAAAGGTATTCAAAATTAATTGAATTAATAAAATAAAATTAATATAAAGTAGGCTAAAATATGGAATCATAAACATCTAAGATCAATGTTGAATAAATGTTATTAATACGTATTAGAAAATTATGTACGACAAAATTATGTATTAGTTATCACGCGGATTATCATGATAAATATAACCTGTCTTATCACATCATCCGTTCTTTGTTGTTGTTTCTTATGGTTTACGAAAATGAATGATAAAAAAAAATCACTAATAATTTAAGAACAATTTTTTTATTAATAGTGAGACGAAATTAAAAAAGAATTTTACTTTAAAACCATGAATTGTTTTCTGGATTAGAATACGGTTATGAATATCCAGGAACAAGAAGTTTATATCTGGAAAAGAAGTTAAATAACATATATTTTCAATTGACAAAAATCGTTATCACGTTAAATGTCCATTGAAGTGGTTTTTACTTTTCCAGAATATCCGGTCGTATAAAGCAAAAACTATAAACAATATTCAAATATATATATATTTCATCAGTGGTGTTTGGCATAAATATTTACATAATATACATCCATTCTGGAAGGCAACGAAATGTCAACATTCTACTGATTTAAATTAATATATAGAACATTTTTGTTGTTGTTGTTGTTGTGTTTTTAATTTATTGAGTTAAACTTTTTTCACTTTAACACGTGAATTGTTTGATTGTTTTGTAGTTAAGCATAACACTACACAAAGGGCTATCTGTGCTCTGCCCACCACGGGTATCGAAACCCGGTTTCTAGTGATATAAGTCCGCAGTCATATCGAATAAAATAAAATATTAACATAAAATTGGAAAGATAATAAACTTACAAACATTCACGGGTTAGTCCTCCCCCTCCCCCAGTGACACAGCGATATGACTGCGAACTTATATCACTAGAAACTGGGTTTCGATACCCGTGGTGGGCAGAGCACAGATAGCCCTTTGTGTAGCTTTACGCTTAACTACAAAACAATCAAACAATTCACGTGTTAGCCTCCCACCCCCAGTGACACAGACCCAAACAAGACGCGTTTGTTTGTGTACACATTCTTAAAATGTTTGAGACCAATTACATTACAGTAAATGTAACCGAAATAAGAAAAAAAACAAAAACTAGAGAACATAATAAGACAGAACAAAGCCGCATTTTGTTTGAATGGGGGTATTTGGGTGTCCTTAATTAGTGTCGTAAATAAAGAGTATTTCTGACTCAATTTGAAAAGAATTTACTTTGATATTTGATATATAGCTGGCACGTAACCAGAGTATCTGTAAAAGTGTGCCATATTACGACGTCACCTGACTGAAAAATAAACACTGACTTCTTTTATGGCATACACCTTGTGCGATAAGATTTATCACTACGTTAGGAAGAAGCGGACAATTATTATTTAACAAAATTTACTTCTGTAACACAATACATATGTAGGAGGTATTCGTTCTTCAAACAGTGCACTAAATAATAAAACTTTTGTTTTAAAATACGATAAAATATTTAACGATACAATGTGAAATTAATTCAAATATTAGTGTTAATATGATGTTGTTAAGTATGAGAATATATCACTAATTTGTTTAAACATCTTATATATATATATATCAGATTTCGGAAGACGTAAAGGTTAACAAAGGCGTGGGTTGCTTCGTACCGGTATCGATTGACGCCAACACAACAGGCAAAGCTAATCCACTCCTACTCTAACCGGCAAGCTGTAGTAAAATTACTATAGAGAATATGGAAGTAATGTAGATATTTCTTCAAGTAATTGAGAAATAAAAGAAAATATTTTCCAAAATTTTATTAGTTTGGATTACATTTATAACTTATTGAAACGAAATTCTTAAAATATTATGTTTTGAACAAGCTACGGGTTAATCTTAAGTATTATTTAGCCCAGTATATCTATATTCTCCTAACATCTACACGCACACATGTTATGAGTAATCACTACGCTTTCCCGCGCGTTCCGGGCAAAGACAGCTGATCAGTCATACGTTTTTTTCCTACGCTAAAAGAAATAGTTCAAAATTAACCTATGTAATCTTAAGACATTAGCGTCATTCACACTAAATAAAGATTAGTATGTTAGATATTTAATTATGTGTTTTTTATCACCTGTTATAATATTTGTCTCAGATAAACAGTACTTATATTATCATAAAATACTGTACGAATAGAAAAACAACGGCACGCACCATGCTATTCCCGCCAAACGCGGTTGTTAAGACTCAGAAACAAGTTGGTCGGTCGCGATCTGCATTTAAAGGTTAAGCTTATTTTCAGTTAACGTACTGCTAGTTAGTTAAAGCACTGTTTACATATTCTTATATTGTAAACTTTGAGAAAATGGCATTATATCATCGAAACAGTGAGAAGAGGCGAATATTTAATGAACTTCGAAGACAGCAAGAAGAGGTTATAGGAAGCTTATGCCGGTAAGTTGTAAGCCAGACCACGCTGTTTTTCATGCTAAAACCACTCGGAGACATAGTATTTAACAGTACTAACTCAAAACTAATGTTAGGCCGATATACGAAAAGGGTATTTCGTGCTTATTGTTATTCACTGAAATTAGAAAAGTATCATAATTTTGGTAACCATAAGCTAACGTTAGTTCTTAAACAACTGAAAATTATTAAATTTAATTCAAATGATAAATTTATTTGTTATTTTAGTTACAAGTCATCAGTATTAATTTAACTTTCAATTTTATTGACTTTTTGTACACTGTGGCCTAAGCTATTTCAAAGTTTTTTTCATCATCCAAGAGGCGTTTTACCCCCAAAACTAAATATGTTATCTTAGATCTCCGTTTATTAAACATTAATATGTTACCAAATATAGTTATTTACACTATAAATACACCATAGTTACTAAATAAAAATTGATATCGCCTTTGTAGGCATTTTTTAATATATGTGTTCCACTTTCAGTTAAAATTCTCTGACGCTAGTGTTAAATGTTGTCTTAATTACAGCGAATATTTATTTTGAAAATTAATGTAAGTCTACCTGTAATAATGTTGACCAGTGGTGTATGTCTACAATGTAACGTCTGTGTCTGCTGGATATATATATATATATTTCTTTTTTGATTATGTTTTGTATTCGCCAAAAAAACCTAAAATCTTACTGAAGCTGCCTGGCCCGGCCTGGCCAGGTGGTTAGGGCGCTCGACTCGTAATCTGAGGGTCGCGGGTTCGAATCCCCGTCACACCAAAACATGCTCGCCCTTTCAGCCGTGGGGGCGTTATAAAGTGACGGTCAATCCCACTATTCGTTGGTAAAAGAGTAGCCCAAGAGTTGGCGGTGGGCGGTGATGACTAGCTGCCTTCCCTCTAGTCTTACACTGCTAAATTAGGGACGGCTAGCGCAGATAACTCTCGTGTAGCTTTGCGCGAAATTCAAAACAAACAAACTGAAGCTGCCTTAAATAATTCAGTGTTGCCACTTTTAAAGATAAAATATTATTATGAACATAAAAATAAAGGAAAAGTTTACTTTGTTTTGAAATCTTGTCATTTAATGTAATCAAATTATATTATCTTAAAAATAATATTTCATCAAGCGATTTTTGAAGAAAACAGTTCAAGTGTTAGTGAACAAATGGAATAAATAAATAAGAGGGAGTACCTAACTGATGGGTTTTTTGTAACTATAATATTTCTAATTAAAACTACGTTTTATAAGAAAGTCCTGAAATTAATGTAGGCCAAGACCCATCGTATCATAGGTAAGTTAAATTTAAACCTACTGTTAATTCAATGCTTATCGCGCTTAACAAATTTTACACTTAACTAGGGTAAAACATTTATAAATTTATTTTGAACTTTTTGTGGTCCTAAAATGTGTCTGGTAATTTGTCAGTTACATATATATATATATATTATTCCATACATGATGTATATGCTTATATATATGTATTTCAATATTAATAAACAAGTTTAATTTATTTCGGTTCAGGAGTGCTTATATAGGTTATAATCTATTTATTACCCGACCAAAATTATTGTTCATCTCTTAAGTTATTATTATTGGTTTTAGTTAACATATCGACGTCAGATAGGTCGGAAAATCGTTAACTATATGCGTAGAAAGTTTTCACTGAGCTTATGACTTTATTAAATACTGCGTAATAAAATGAAAAAGTTTTACTGTGACTTAATAATTATCAGTCACATTTCTACTACAGTATTTCAATATTGTAGTAACGAAAATTATCATTTAATAACGTTAAATGGCTTTTCCAGTGCCGTCTCCCATTGGTTACCCTGATATAGTACAAACTGTCGCCAGCAGAATAGCGTACAAATGCTGCAGTCCAACTTTTTCCACTCAACGAAATAAAATACAGAAAAGGGCGTACAATGGCGACCGAGTATTTGGCATCGAGCCAAGTGCGTGAGATTCAAGGAAAGAGGTCGGTCGGTTGTCTGGTATTTTCTGTCTAGCATCTTGGAGAGAGAGCGCGCCTTGCGGGGAAAGACTGTGGCTAAAATCAGCTGCGGTGCGCCAGCAGTCAGACAGAGAACTATATGAAGGTTAGGGTTTCGGCTTTCCAGTTACTTGACTTTTTAAGGAAGCACAATGCACCAGCGAGAGGTTATTTTGTGTTGGCTGAAATCCCAAAGCTAAACACCACATAAAACAAATCGATAAAACATTATTAAACAAAACACTTATTGCATTTTAGAACCTCAATCAAAACAATATGCTCGCCTAAATGTACATTTTTACCCGTGTCACTTAATAAAAAATGTTTTTTTTGTTTTATATAAGAAACCTTTCTAGTTTGTTTGTTTTCGGATATTCGATCATCTGTGTTAGTCGTCCCAAGTTTTCAACTGATAAACTAGAGGGAAGACAGCTAGCCAACAGTAACCGACGCCAATTCTTGGATTACTTTCAACGAACAGAGGGAAATGACCGTCATTTTTATAACCTAGACCGGGCCCCAAAGTACAGGACGGTTTTTGTTGTTGTTTTTTTTTGTGGCAACTGGATTTGAACCATGGACTCTCATATCCACAGTCCGGCACGCTAATTACGAATGATTTACTCCAGCTAAACATAAATGTTCGTCCAAATGAAAAACAAAAAAAGCTGCTGTTTTTCTCAACTTAATAGTACATGTACATTACTTATCAAGGAGGTGTTTTGTGTAGAAATTTTGAGCAGAAATTAAGTAGTCCTGTTACTAAGAATGTCTTTATAACTGTCGATACTTTAAGTTTCTGTCTTGAAAATATAATATTGTGTGATAACTCATGGGTTTTAAGAAAAACATTTTATGTTAGGCTAGGAAGTCGACCTCCTTCACCAAAGACGCAGATGGAGCAAGAGAAGCGAATCCGTCGAGAAATAGCCAACAGTAACGAAAGACGCAGGATGCAAAGTATAAACGCTGGATTTCAATCACTCCACGCTTTGTTGCCACACCACGAGGGAGAAAAGCTTAGCAAGGTAACATGACAACTTAAGCTATACCGCTCATTAATGTAAACACAAAATTTGAACAGGTAGAACAAAAACACTATGTATCTCTATACAACCTGTTCTGTCACTCTTCAGCATCTTCAAACTCCGCACCCTAATGTACGTATTTATCTATATATCCATATGTATATATAAAAGCGGGTAGGTTTAATATTATTGTTTCCCAAATTGTAGCATTTTCTGCCATTGTTGAAAACATATCATAAATATCCATTGTTAGGATTATAGGTACATACTGTTAATGTTTCAAACTTTGGAATGATACAGTATTTTGATAATTCGATTAGGGACTTTTCTATTTTATTTTTAGGATAGAATGGGAAGGAAAATGATTTAAATACATCTTCCATATGTTATGGTTTGTTTGAATCAGTCAGTTCGGGTTCAGATTCGTCAAGGTCACGTACAGAATACTTTTCGCGCCACTATCCTTTTAATGCATTCCAATCCACAGTTCTACTATGAGTGACTGCACCAACAGACTTGGCACTGTGCCATATCAGATATATATATATTTTTAACACCAATCTGTTAGTTATTATGCGTGGAAAGAGATAAGAAAAAAATTCTCAGGTAGATCATCCAAATGTTTCTCAAGCAATTAAATATTTGTAAACAAAAAAAAACGGGCCTTTTTTTTTTTTAAGTTCCAAGACTGCACGTAAGGATTCGTGGACGCTAACTTGCAAACATTTCAAAGTCTAGCATGTTCAGAATAAATCATTTTATACACTGAACCTCAAGGAAGCCGTATAGTGATGCAGACGTTTCGGACACTAATATTTTATTTTGATTTTATTTCAACATGTTCAGAGTTTTTTTTTGTTTACCGTTGATTTTTCCCTTCTTGACACTTTCGTTCATTACTTCTTGTTTGGCATATTACACGGAATCACATCAGTATTCTACGCCGATGTAAATATTCCGGTGTGTTTTGTGTTATCAACCAAAACTTAGTAAATATAACTTCACAACTTAACTTCCCTTCTATGATTGACGTCTTCTAGAACAGACAAGCAAAAAATGGACTAGTATACTTTTGTTATTATATCTTTCAAAACAGTTTTTTTTACTGCTTTTGTAGAGACACAATTACCGTTTTGCTCAAGGACTCTTTTTTTTTTTTCTTCTCGCTTGTGGAATAGTATTTAATAAATAAAAAAAACTTCTGTATACAAAACAGAAGGCCATAAGCTCGTGACTTTATAATCGGAGAACACGAATGAAGCTAGCACAGAAAACATGCATTCAGCTAGATGAGTCTGGCTATGTGACATACATTATTACACGTGTTTACATGTCGAAATAAAAAGTAAATACAACAACGAAGCATAAATATAATGTGGGTCATGCGCGTGGTCGTTATATCCGGCGATGAACTTGCAGTAACAAGTGCCAATGATTGGGGGGGGGGGATCGGATAAATTCGGTATACTGGGCAAAAATAATGCTTATAACACAGTATAAAAAAAACATAATTATCTGTGTTTTTTTATTTTACTTTAAAGAACAGATAAGAAAACAGCGACGCGACCCTCCATATTCTAATATATGTATTTGCACGTGATATGTGTACCGTTGACTACACGTGGTTCAGAATATTGTTTGTAGGGGAGCTTCCATCTTGAAACAGCTGGCGACGTAAAAGCCGCGACTGTTATGACGCGTTACATCTTTGGCACTGTTATTAACTCGGAAGTTGTTCGTATAACAACAAAACGTATAGCGTACAAAAGGTATTAGTAACGCAGGGCGGGTTCGTCCACTCCAGGTTAACGTTCCATTCTTACATATACAGACGCTTTTGGGAATATTTTTATTATTATTTATCTCGTATAT